TGTTACTAGACTTCACTACTTTGTTATAAGTGCCTTACCTTCTCAAGGTTTAGTGCTGAGTCAGTCTTTTGGGTGCTGTGATTGAAATGAGCCGCTGTTGTCTCCAGGATGGCCTCAGGAGGTGAAGGTCATCGACACGCTCGCTCCCAAACCATGCCCATCATCAGGGGCAAGAACGCCCTCATGAACCCGAAGCTGCTGCAGATGATGGAAACAGGTAATATAAACAGATTTAAACAGATGTGCTGCTTCTTAGTTGGTGTTAGATTTACATTTCTGTTTTTGTAGATGGGAGCATTCAGGATGGGGACACACTGAGTCCCACAGATATCGAAGCCAACTTGTCCACGGAGGTGGCGCTCACTGTGCTGGATGTACTGGAACTCTTTGTTCACCATCATAAGGTCTGTCATTGTTTCTGCCTTTATTTAGCTTATTAATTAGGACCGTTGGAGTTGAATTCACTGGTAACTTGTATGAGAAACCTCTGCTTTATATAATGTGTAATTTTCTTTAACCCCCACCCCCCACTGTCTCTATGGGTGACCCCGCAAAGAGAATTGACCATTGAGCAGGATTGATGGTTTTTCCCTTGAGGTCCACGTGGCAGGGGTGAGGTGATGCTCACTCCTCACCCCTGCCACATGGACCCAAGGGATAAACCATCAATCCTGCTCAATGGTCAACTTTCCTCACCGAGTCACACCTGTTAGGACAGTGGCAGGGTTAATAAAACAAATGTAAATCTTTTTTTTTTTGTTTATATCTGCAAAACTGTCTTTATAAGGATCTTTGATTTCATTTATTTATTTAAAATGTGAAATTTAACAAGCTTATTTTTATACACACAGTATAAATAAAACAAGCTCTGTTAAACAAACAAAAAGATATCGAAAAGATTTAAATCAAGTGGCATTTTCACTCAGATGCTTCACTAACTGACGCTTTACTGCCATCTAGTGGCCGACTGGTTTTTATCTTTCTCAAACTGCTTTGAAATATTCAACTCCTGATTTAGCAGAAAAAAAACATCCACACCGGAGAATATTCATGTAGATTTTGCAAAAAAAAAGCTGACAGATATTATTATAGAACTATTTAAATGAAGGCATGCACTCATCGAGCTTGCTTGACTTTAGAGCTTGACTATGTAGAAATCTGAGTTAAATTAACATAAATCAAATCTCTGATTATGTTTTCTTCTTTCTCTTCAAAATTTGCTAATTTAGAAGCAGCTGCTGCAGGATGAGGGGCAGAACACACTGATGAAGAAGGTGCTGGACACCTACTTGCTCTTCTTTCAGATCAACCAGTCAACTGCTACTCTGCGACATGTCTTCGCAGCACTCAGGCTCTTTGTACAAAAGGTCCATCATACTTCATTTGAACATTCAGGACAAGTCTCTGCTTATTATGTCCTTACGTGCGTTTTGGTTTTCTTCTCATTCTGTAGTTTCCCAGTGCATTTTTCCAGGGAAAGGCAGACCTGTGTGGCTGTCTGTGCTATGAAATCCTCAAATGCTGTAATCATCGATCCAGCTCCACTCAGACAGAGGCAGCTGCCCTGCTGTACTTTTTCATGAGGCAAAACTTTGACTTTACAAAGGGCAAATCGATCGTACGCTCACATCTGCAGGTCAGGAACAGTTTATAGTCGTGCAAGTTTTGTTATTTCTGGAATGTTAGTCACACCAAGCGTTTGCTTCATCTGCAGGTAATCAAAGCTGTGAGTCAGTTGATTGCTGATGCTGGAATTGGGGGGTCAAGGTTTCAACAGTCTTTGGCCATCATCAATAACTTTGCTAATGGAGATGCACCACTCAAGGTAAAGCAGGTTTTAAAGCTTTACATGTATGCTTTTGCTTCAGCTTGAGAATAAATAAACAAACATTTTTGCCACTATTTCTTCAGAACACTCCATTTCCAGCAGAGGTGAAGGACCTAACCAAGCGGATCCGGACGGTTCTGATGGCCACGGCTCAGATGAAGGAACATGAGAAAGATCCAGAGATGTTGGTGGATCTGCAGTATAGCCTGGCCAACTCCTACGCTAGCACTCCCGAGCTGCGACGCACCTGGTTAGAAAGCATGGCCAAAGTTCACGTCCGCAACGGCGATTTGTCCGAGGTCGTACACGATCTACGTCTTAGCCCCAGCGAGTGATTTTAGAAGAGTAAAAACATTTAACAGCTTTGTGTTTGTTCTTCCTTTAGGCTGCCATGTGCTACATCCACATCTCAGCTCTGATCGCTGAATCGCTGAAGAGGAGAGGTCAGCTCACACACTGATTCTTAAACATGACGAGCTTTTGGCAGCATGGTTTGTTCGTGTGTCTGTGTGTGCAAAGATCACTGCATTTCCACAATTTTTAAAGGTGTGGTTCACTTGTTTAATCAATACATCTGCAGTGGTCTCTAGTAGGAATGAATGCCTTGAAAGTTTAACTCTGGGAACAAAAAGTCCTGGTGCACCTGTTTCAGGATCTAGAAGATTCCCAGATCAGAGGAGAGCTTCAGACAGCAAGATTTGAAGTCTTACTTCCTGATATTTGGACATCTCACCTCTGATTGGCTAACAGAAACATGAATCTACCACTGACATAGTTTACTTTGCAATGTTGATGTTTTATCTCCACAAATAACACAAGCCTGGAGAAGTTTTGCCGTGTGGTGGAGTTGCTAATGCCTTCGTCATCACCAGTCAAGATGGGTGAGTTCATGAATGTTGACAGTGTGATGTCACACTGTGAGGATTTTCAAATCCTAACATTTCATCATCTAACAGGCCAGCTCACGCAGGTGTAGGAGACTATTTCCATGTTCAGCCTGCATGAAAAACTCAGAGTGACTGATTATAATCAGAAATGATCATTAAAAAATGTTTTTTCAGTGAACCACACCTTTAAACTTTCTGTGCCTTTCTGTAGACGCGATAACTTCACTTTTCACCAAATGTAGAGATACATTTTCATGAACTTTGAAAACTGCTTCACTTCTAACAACCACAATACACCTGTGGGCATCAGTTCTTTATACAATTATGGGTTTGAAAATAAGGTCAGGGGTCACTTGAGTGCATTTTTATCCAGAATTATTGGGAACGAATGGAGGATGTATCCTTAAACATAGATAACCTCCCTTTCTGAACTCCTGTAGAGACTGATGTCCATGTCTTTTGCCGTTCTGCAAGTCTTTCCACTTGATCTTCAGTGTGCATGTTTCCACTTTTTAAAGCATGCATCAGTGACCTGCTGTTTGTCTCTGGCATCCATTCGCTTGTGCACACTGAGCCTGTGGTCCTGCAGCTTCTGTAGCATGTCAGTAGCTCAACTGATTCGTGAGCCTTGCCCTTTAGCGTTAAAGACAAAACCAAGTGGACATTGTAAACCTGCTGCTCCTCCTCCCCCTCCTACCAAACAGGCTACTGGAGAGCCGACAAGGCCGGGATGTCCAATGTGTCCCCCGACGAAAGCCCTGTCTTTAACTGTAGCTCCTTACTAACTTCCTCCCGAGATCAAGACAGTGAGTTTGTGCGCCTGGGTGGGGGGTTCCAAGGGTGGTGTTTTACATTACAACCTTCTATAGGGTACCGGTTATGTAGATGTAAAATATTTGTTTGGTTTTTGTAACAAAGGTTAGCGTCAGGTTTATATTTACTGCCTGGCTGTTATGGCTTATAGCAGAAGTGTCTTTGGACAAAATAGTTTACTTCTATTTTAGTCATTATTTAATTGTACAATGCAATATTGGATTATTACTATGACATGGCAAGGTATGATATAGTAGGATACAATAGAGGTTAGGACGATATTCAATACAACACCATATGATATGATGAAAGGGGTGTAATCACACGATTATCTCCCCAAGAATGAGAGGTTTGCAGGTTTTTCTTCCAAATGACATGTCTTGTCTCTTTAATCCTCAAATACCAGCATCTTTCTCCATGGGCTGGGCAGCGTTTATGTGCATCAGTCCTAATGTTAAAGAGGAGGGAGCCATGAAGGAAGACACCGGTACCCAGGACACACCCTACACAGAGGTCAGTGTTGGCATCTCATCGTGAACTAAAGCGTTATTTAGCAGGACTTTGGTTCGAGTAAACCCTGGGGTGGTGTGTTCAGGACACCCTGGTGGAGCAGCTGGAGCTGTGTGTAGACTACCTGTGGAAATCCGAGAGGCACGAGCTCATTGCAGACATCAACAAACCTGTGATAGCTGTCTTTGAGAAGAGGAGGGATTTTAAGGTGAAGTGGTGCTTGTTTGGATTTTTGTTAGTATGTTTTCTAGTCAGCAGTAGATGAGCTTGTGTATTTTTTGTGCCCACAGAGGCTTTCTGAGCTCTACTATGACATACATCGCTCCTACCTGAAGGTGACGGAGGTCGTGAACTCAGAGAAGCGTCTGTTCGGTCGCTACTACCGTGTGGCTTTCTATGGACAGGTGAGTGGCGATCGCTGTGCATTAAATGAACAAAACTGCACAGATCCTATGAAATACACCGTTAAACATTTTACATGCATCATTTCACAGCCAAAGGGAACAGAAACAGCATAAGCACGTTTTTAGAGTAGGTCTTTAATTTTTCTGTTTGCTCTTTTCTTTCTATTTGTTAAATTCTAAATCAAGATTGCGGTAAGTTGCTGAAGCCTTCCATTTTTTATTTTTCTCTGTTATAACCACTTTTACCTGGCTTTTCCACTTACCTCTTACCAATAATAACATCTCCAATCCTCTGAGGGATTGTGGGAAGCTTGCTGTGGTCCATTTTACTTTCCATAATCTCCAATGATAAAACTCCTCTCCTTCTAGTTGATGTCCAACAGGAAGATACCATTTAATAAACCCCGTCTGACATTTGAAGTGTTGCGTTAAATCTGACCTTCATCTGAAGCTTAACTGTGCTGGTGCTGAGGCAGGTGCTCTAACTTAAACACGAACTGTTTAATCATAAAACGCTCAAGAAATCAGTAGGAGGCACCCGAAAGTCAGCATTTGCTCATACACGATAGTAGGATTTTTTTAAAATGAAAACGTGTGTGTTTGTGTGTGTGTGTGTGTGTGTGTGTGTGTGTGTGTGTGTGTGTGTGTGTGTGTGTGTGTGTGTGTGTGTGTGTGTGTGTGTGTGTGTGTGTGTGTCTCTTATAGGGCTTCTTTGAGGAGGAAGAGAGCAAAGAGTTTATCTACAAAGAGCCAAAGCTGACAGGCTTGTCAGAAATCTCCCAGAGATTACTCAAACTCTACTCGGACAAATTTGGAGCTGACAATGTCAAGATGATCCAGGACTCCAACAAGGTCATTATTATCACTTGAATGATTAAGAACAAAAATCTGATTGCATTGTTCATCACTTTATTTCTTCCTTTTTAATCAATCCAGGTAAATCCAAAGGATCTGGACCCAAAGTTTGCCTACATCCAGGTGACCTACGTAGTTCCTTACTTTGATGAGAAAGAACAGCAAGAAAAAAGAACAGATTTTGAGAGACATCACAACATCAACCGCTTTGTGTTTGAGACGCCCTTCACGCTGTCGGGAAAGAAACATGGTGACGTAGAGGAGCAGTGCAAAAGGCGCACCATACTGACCAGTGAGTCTTTTTGCATCTCTTGCAGGTCAACATACCTAGAGCATGAGTTACATTTTATTTTACCAGAATTAAAGAGCAAGTCACCCCCCTACCAGAATCTTACTGCACTCCCACTTCCTGTTTGAAAAATGCAACAAATGCTGTTGCCTGGCAGACTGAGAGAGCAGAGCCACTAACAAACACAACACAGGCTCACAACGACATTGCGACATCATAATGTACCAGCTAATGCCATTGTGTACCTCTTAGCCAACAGCGATAGCAGATTTAAATTCAAATGCAGTGCAGAGTTTTTACCTGATGGTGGAACACTGACAGTTTTAGCCAGACAAAATGCATTAAAGTGCCAAATTAATGACGACATGTCTACAGCACGATTAGACACTCATTTATATAGTTTAGCAGCAAAAAAAAAGTTGATTTGGGGTGAATTGCTCTTTAAATCTAAACGCTGTGAGAAAAAAATTAAAGTATTTGAAACAAATGCTGAGAAATAGTGTCACCTCAAAAATTCTAAGTAGGCTAATTCAAGAATAGCTTCAAAAAGGGAGCCTGGTTCTTCTCTAAAACTTGACTTGTAACATCTTTATTATTATTAGTCCTTTAATTCTGTAAGCTACTAAAAACAAGGCATTTTATGCTATATAAGGTGCACTTTTTGGCTACTTCTGCACCATACAAGAAATCAAAGATCTCCCATCAGTTTTTCACAATAAGAGCCTCAAGCAAATACATGTACATAAACAATTTTTTTAAAGAACATTTGAAGATTTTAAAGATATTTTTTTAATAGGTTGCTCAGTAAAAATGGAACAAAATACAGTTGGCACAATGGGATCTGTTTCCTCAGGCTATACTTGAAACAGTCTGACTTTATTTAGGAAATTCTTCACACTTTTTCCTAACATTTTGAATCTCAACACTTCCTTGTGTTTATGTTTTCCCCTTTGTGTAAGAGGTTGTGCTGTGATGTTGTGTTTCACACCAAAGTTGCATACAGAAAAATAATTAAAAAGTCCCATAGCTTAAAATACACACCTAGACTGCATTAATGATGTTTAGAAAATATCTCTGAACACAACAAAATAGTGGAAAACCACCAAATATATCTGATCTGACCTGTGGGTTTTTCTCTCTTTCCACAGCGGCTTCCAGCTTTCCCTATCTGAAAAAGCGAATCCAGGTGGTGGAGCAGCAAAGCACAGAAATGAATCCGATCGAAGTCGCCATCGATGAAATGTCACGTAAAGTCTCTGAGCTCAACCAGCTCTGCAACATGGAGGAGGTGGACATGATTCGGCTGCAGCTCAAACTGCAGGGGAGCGTTAGCGTCAAGGTGGGGATCCGTATCAATGTATTGTACATGGAAGTGAGTGTTTTGTTATTATAGCAACCAATTCTCTTGTATCAGGTAAATGCAGGACCGATGGCTTATGCTAGAGCGTTCCTGGAGGAGAAGAATGCAAAGAAGTATCCAGACAACCAGGTCAAACTACTTAAGGAGATCTTCAGGTAACTGGAAATGATTGAAAATGAACAAATGAGCGATCTCATTGAGGGCAGATTATGCATAATAGTCGTTCCACATCAGATTTAGCAAAGGGGTCTAAAACTGAACTGTCTTCTGCAGGCAGTTTGCAGAAGCCTGCGGTCAGGCTTTGGATGTGAATGCTCGTCTCATTAAGGAGGACCAGCTGGAGTACCAGGAGGAGATGAAAGCTCATTATCAAGACATGCTCACGGAGCTTTCTGGCATCATGAACGAACAGGTCTCAGAGTGCAATGAGCAATAGTTGTCCACATTTTGTTACCATTTTGTGGCTTTATTTTTTAACCTATTTTATGTAAGCATCATCTTTCCACTCGCTTAATTTTTTTTTACTATTCTGCATTTTATGAGTTTCTTCAAAGAGCTGCATCTTTGCTTCTTTTTCCAATGTTTTCTCTCATTGCAGCTTGACACATATATTCATGCCTCCAGGTAACAGCTCTGCCTGCTCTTTCTAACGCTGGTATGTTCATGCCATCAAGTTTTCTCATGAAAAACATTCAGCCGCCTTTTCCATACCCTGTCCCTGTTGATCCAGTCTGATGTTTAACTTTTGCGTTCATCTGTTCCAACGCTGGCTCTCTGTTTTCCCTCTTTTATCCAGATTCCTCACACAAGACAACCAGGATCAGAGCGACACAGCGCCTACTGAACAGACTAGAGACACGCCAGAAATCCTTTGTGCCAGTTAGTGCTAAAAGTGGCTCATTTGTTTGTTTTTGATTGTATTCGTTTTGTTCTGCTGCACAGAGTGGTGGACTAGTGGAACTTTGACTGGCTTGTGTAGCGAAAAGAAGAGAAAGTGTGTAGACTGTGGTTGTGGTAATTTGTTGTCCTGTGGTTGAATTTAGACTGTCTACAAAAGAGGCTACTGGACTGTTAGCTACTGTTTGCTTTGGTTTTAGAGACTCCAACCATTTGGTAAGGATTCCCCCACTAGTGACACAAACCTGCAACATGCGCCTTCTCTCCAGAACCCTCCCTCGCCCATGGTGTCCCACAAGGTTCTGTGCTGGGACCTCTACTGTTTACAGAACCATGACCTTACTGAGGTGGAGGTGCGTTCAGTTGTACATGCAAGATGTAGCTTTCTGGTGCATTTTTATGACACTTTTTTCACTTTTTTCCCCCTTCGGCTTATCAGAGTACTTTAAACTGTCCGAAGAGGTCTTGCAAAGGTGGCTAATGGGACACAAAAAATGGATTAAAATACAGGTTTTAAGGGTCAGATGAATTGAATGCACCTCCAGTTCTTCGAATGTAGAGCAGCTCCTTGTGCTACTTTGTATCCTTGATAACATTCTGGAAACAAAAAGAAAATCACTTTTGCCAATTTTAAAACAAAATGTTATGTTTTGTAACATTTTTATAACTGAAACTTGCATTGTTACGGTTATTATTTACTGTTTTAAATTGTACATAAGAAATATAAATATTTAAAACAAATGTTTGAAGTGTTTCTTTTATAAAATACAAAATATATGAATATTTGTTTAGTTGATAAAAAAGAAAACAAAAACTAAAGTTTCTGTATTGCATTTAAATAAAAATTTGTTAATGTTCAAAATTGGTGGTTATTCATCAATCGTTTGCCATGTTCCTGTCATTATCGTAACGTTGTTAATTATGAGTTTGGATAAAATTCTTTTTTTTTATTGGACACTTTGACTTTAGCAAACACATCCAAACTGATCTGGGGGCTATTTTTAGCCCATTTACTGATTTTGTTCGACACCAGATTTCTAGAATGGTTGATTTTTGTCTCTTTAGCATGCTGGTCATATAGATCGACACTTCTATGTTTACACAAATCTTTTATATACACGAGGCCTGTTTTTGAGCAGGGCAAATAAAAAAAAATTGTATTTCTTTTAGAGCCAACGTCTACATTTAGTCCCTTCCACTTGCATCATAAAGGATGTCAGTGTGCCTTTTTGCAGACTTTTAGAGAAAGAACTGTTATGTTACCGTAACCTGTGTAAAAACATTTATGATTTAGGTTTCAATGAAAGTGAAATGACATTGAAATGAAGCGCGCCCTGTGACAAAGAACAGTTTCCATGGGATCTGGTGTCAGTTGTTTTTTTTTTTCTATTGTTGGGTATAATTACTGACCCTGCATGGAGAAAGAACAGAAGAGAAGTCCTTTACTTATTGATGCTAAGCCAGGGGTTGGGACTCTACACATAAAAACAGGTTAAGTGGCTCTGAACACACATCGGTGATAAAATGCAGCATCTCTGTTTCTAACTGAAGCGCTGACACATTCATATCTCTGTCTCTTCACTCTCGCTCTGTTGCACCTGAGGTGAAGCAGATAGAGTTGCACTGACCTACATTATATCTTCTTTACAAACTATTGTCCTCTCATCCAGGCCGTGCTCCTCTCCCGCATCTCATCTCTCTTGCCCCCCCTGACGGCTGTATGGAGGGCTGATTGGGTTTCTCTTCTCTACAGTCAGCTTCATTGGTGTCTGTCTCCTTTCCTCGTGGCCTTGACTCCAACAGGGTCAGGTTGCTCTCAGCCGGCAACAAACCTGGCAGTACAAACTTTAACTGGGACTCTATTTAGACAATTTCTAAATATTCGCTATAACTCACAGAAATTGGAGCCATTCCAGCAACATTACAGGTATGCTTTTAAGAGAGTGTGATCATTTCTAAGCAGCCCATCACTGAAAGAAAACAATGTTTTTATTTATGTACAATCAAGTTGTATGACTTTAACATTTGGATCAAACCTCTACCTCTCTTGTGTAATCCTACCATGCAATGACTTCCAGATAATGGTTTGAAGGTGATTTCTGTGTAAAATCATAAACTTATGCATAATGATCAGAACATGCAGATTAATCTTTGACAAGCTGAATTAATATTTTAAAATTATACGTTAATCCATGATTGTAAGAGTGTGTTGCCAGAAACATTTCTCTTCCTCTTCTCCTTTATCAGGTAAAGTTCCTGAACTGTAAGGGGAAAAGAAGAAGCAGCTGATCTTATCTGCAGCTATTAAAAATAGGCACTTGTAGAGTGCGCATTTCATCTCCCCTGCTAAGCTTTCGTGAAACTGGATTCCAGCACTGATGAATAAAACATCTGCAGTGTGATGCTGGCTGATCACCGGAGCTCTTTCAGGTGTATAAGTGGTGAAAAGCGACATTAATCTACCCCACTGCAGCAAGATCTGGACTGAGATTGAAAGAAAACAGAAACTTGAAAGGGAACACACAGCAAAAAGGACGGCGTCTTGAGAGCGGCATGTTAAAACCTCAGCAGCACAGCGAGTTCCTCCTGCATGACCCCCCTCCGGTTTTTGGGAAGCCTTGGTACTGGCAGCGCAGCAGCAGCACCATGGAGAGCACCCGCAGCCTGGCCCAGGTCATCATGGAGATGCGCGATGAAATCAAGAAGCTGGAGGCGGAGAATAGAGAGCTGAAGGGGGAATACGGTCGGGATAGGGTGGAAGAAGCCAGCAACGTGTCTTCAGAGGGACAGGAGCAGGAGGAAGTTGTGGTGAACCCTTATGGGAATCTGAGACGGAATGCGTCTGCGCCGGTCCTGGAGGGACAGTTCAAAGGTCAGAAAAGGGGTCATTGCATGCAACATGTATCCGATATTCCAAAAATGTCCTAATCTAAGATACACCTTGATAATCCCTAAGAAAAATCTGGTCAGGAACGAATTCTGGGATGCATTTCTTACTCACAAAAATAAAATATGAATCGTTTCTTGTCTTTTATCTTACAGGGAACACTGTAATGACTGTTCGAAGGTACTCTACCAGCTCCAGTACCTCTGGTATGACAGCGAAAGAGGGAAGGACAGACAAAACCAGATTGATTAACTCTGGATGGGGGAGACTACAGGAAGTAATCAAGCATGAGAGTGATGCTCTAGAAAATTCAGATGATGGAAGCACAGACAAAGTGACCAACCGACATTCTCTGCAGGAGTACGTCCACAAAAACAGGTACAAAGAAATTCTAGAGACTTAATTTTTTGGGTTTTTTTGTTTTTGTTTTGAGCATTGTAGCCAAACTGAGATGTTCCCGTTCTTTCAGGGCCAAGGTAAAATCGGTCTCCTTCCTTCTGCCTGTCGATGACATTTACACCAACCGGCCCGCTCTGACTAAACACCAAGAGGAGCCTAAAATCACTGGTTTGGCGTCCATCAGTGAAACTGACTCCTGAGAGGACTTTCAAACACTTTGGACATAAACCGGAACTCTGTGGCCCGATTCAAGTTATTCTTATTTAGGTCAGTTTAGATCAGAGCTCAGGTTGATTTACATCACACCTGACCACAAACGCACGAGATTCAGCTTACAGGTGTTGCTCTCAGGTGGCCGAGGCAATCTAAGCCTGGTCGACAGTGGTGAAATGATGAGGGCCCCTCTGCAAGTAGATCAGGTGACCGGACTCTTCTCCTACCTGAGCTGTCGCTTTGAGGTGATACTCACACACCTATAGGTGACCGCCCATTCACACATATAGCTGCTGTGGTCTTTGACTTGTGAGCAACGTCATGATTTATTCATCCCTTTTCTCTTAACGTGGACTGAAATGTGAATTGCCAAGTGAGACTGTGACCTGTTTCACTCTCTCGTCTTTGCTTGTGTGTTTTATTTGGAAGGAGCCAGTGTTTGTCACATTTACACCAAATTAAAATGAGCTACTATGGTTTATGTCCCACCTGTATTGAACAAATTACTTGTGCTACAGCTATTTCACTTTGTGAGTTTTTACAGCTATATTTACATTTATTTCTGTGATAGCAAATTCAATTTTGCTCTATGATCAAAAAGCAAATAAAATATTTCACATTAGAATATTGTTCATGCATCCTGGACTCTAGTCTCAGTTCTAATGGTGGCATATTTGGGTGATGTCTTTTTCCTTCTGTGATGTTACAGTTTTTCTCAATTGTTTACACACATTTTCTGGTACTTGAGACAAAATGACCACAACATGTAACCAATTCACCAACCCCCTTAACCAATTCTGCTAAACTACAAGCACAATTCCTGCTTTGAACTCAAATTGCAAATCTAAAACACACTTTTCTCAAAACACTACACACAACTCTCTGCTGTTGGCACAATTTTCATGCAGAAATTATCTTGTTTTCACAAGGAACACTCTGCCTATCAAATATGCGCACTGACTCATCACAAGGGCAAACACCTGTCACTCAGTTTTACAATTAGGAATCAGAGCTTTAGCATAAAAGGGAAAACAGGTGAGCTCTTCTGTTTTGGAACAATGGATGCCAACATTGGAAACAGAGACAGAGCCAGAGGAGTGAGAGTAAGAGTAGGAGGATGGGGAGGACGAGGAAGACCAAGGACCGTAATCTCTGATGAGATCCGGGCCACTTTGGTTGATCATGTGGTCAACCATGGTCTTACAATGAGGGAGGCTGGGCAAAGAGTACAGCCAAATTTGAGCAGGTACACTGTAGCATCCATCATCCGGACCTTCCGAAATGAGAATAGGTAAGAAATTTTCTCTCACTAGAAAATGGCAGTACTGCATATCAATACAATCAGTATTCAATGAGTATAGTAGTAGTATTGCCTGTGGATGGTTTTGTTGGACAGTAAAAATACTGTAAAGTATGTTTCCAGTATTTAGGAAATGTATACCTACTTTGTATTCACATTATTTTACTATTCGTTTGGCAGAACTGAAAGACTACCAACACGAGGAGGTCGGGAACGTCTTCAGTCTCCTGAACAGGAAACTGAAATCCTCAACATGGTCCTAGAAAACAATGCCATAACATTACGGCAAATACAAAGAAAAATATTAGAAAACAACGACGTTTCAAAATACTGATGGGGTCAGCCTATCAACACTGGACCGTGTCTTGCGCAGATATCATCTCAGGAGGAAGCAGGTCTGCAGGGTGCCATTTGAACGCAACTCAGAAAGAGTCAAAGAATTGCAATATAACTATTTGCAAGTGAGTCCCGCAATTGATGCATACACTCAACACTGTGTACAGTAAATTATACATATTTCATTAGTGCAATCACTAATGATTGTGCTTCACACTAGTGAGCACTCCATGTTTATTTCTGATATTGTCATGTGTGTTTCAGAGAGTCCTTGAGCTAGAGGCAGCTGCAGTGGAGCACCAGTTCATCTTCATTGATGAGGTTGGATTCAACCTCACAAAAAGATGAAAGAGGGGAAGGAATATCATTGGCCAGCGTGCCATTGTTGAAGTCCCTGGCCAACGCGGAGGGAACATCACAATGTGTGCAGCGCTTGGCTAGCATGGCATCATCCATCACCATGCTACCCTTGGCCCCTACAACTCCGCCCATCTGATCACATTCCTGTACACCCTACACAACACACTCATTCCACCAGACCAGGTAGATGGCCCAGAACGGCCCAGGTACGTTGTCATTTGGGACAACGTAAGTTTCCACAGGGCTGCTGTCGTTCGTAACTGGTTCACTGGCCACCCACGCTTTTTAGTTGTTTATCTCCCTCCATATTCTCCATTCCTCAATCCCATTGAGGAATTTGTTTCTGCGTGGAGACAGAAGGTGTATAACCGACAGCCACAAATGCGTATACCTCTTCTCCAAGCTATGGAGGACGCATGTGGAGATATAGCAGCTGATTCGTTTCATGGCTGGAATCGCCATACTAGGAGATATTTCCCCCGCTGCTTGGCCAGGGACAACATTGCTTGTGATGTGGATGAGGAGCTGTGGCCAGACCGCAACAGAAGAGAGGATGCAGCATAGTTTTACTGTTTTACTGTAACTGTATACAGTAAATTCTTCTGTTGTATGTAGTTTATGTGTGCAACTTTGTGTTGGTTGGGAATGGGATAAACACTGTGTACAATGTTTTGTGGAAAAAATAAAATAATTTCTACCATGTATTTGTGTGTTCCGAGTGTAAAAACAATATTCTGAAATAACAACACATGCATGTATTTACTGTCTGTAGTAAGTGTAACACTGAACCAAAAAGGCTTTAGTCATTATGATGAATGGAGAGGACGTGTTTTCCATTCATCATAGTGTTTAACATTGAGCACATAAGTGTTCTGCTGGTTCTTAGAAATGTCTATTCATATGATGGTTTGTGTGTCATTTGACAACAAAATCACATTTTGAGGAGAAATAACAGGTGTGAATTGTTTTGAATGTGAAGTTTAATTTTGCAGGTTAAGTGAGGTTTTTGTGTGTGTGTGTGTGTGTGTGTATTTTTGGATTTGTGTGTAGAGTTCTGAGAATATGAGGCATGCTTTAAGGAAATGTGTGTTAACAATTGAGGAAAAACTGTAAACGAGAGTGTCGGCAGAAGCAGAAATGACATTTTCATGTACTTTGGAATGAACTTTTAGGTTTATAAATCATTCAGAACCACAGATTTCTTGATAAAAATATGTTCACTTAGAATTTTTTGTAATTAAACTTTGTGACCACAGGTTATTTGCAAACAGTAACTTTAAATAAACACACAATAATTAAACATATTTTAATAATTATGAATAGTGAAATGGTTGCTCATGTAATTTAAAGAAAAACCAACTGACTTTTAAAAAGGTTTCATCAGTTTTCACAGTTAAGTTTTGCAGTTGATAAAAAAGCCGAGAACTCTTCTGACCTCGAATAATCATCTTCTAATCCAGCAAAGAAAACAGAAAATATGACCTTTTAATGAGTATGTGCCACTAGGAATTTATTGGAATAAATCACAAAAGAAAGGCAAGACAGCTACATTTGTATAGCCCATTTCATACACAGAGGCAATTGAATGTGCTTTCCATTAGCAGGAATAGCAAGAACATTTAAATCAATGTGACAGCACAATTCAAATACACACAAATTCTTTTCAGATTTAAGAAAAAAAAAAAGACAAAGTTAAAGGGTTAGGGTTACAGTGCAGAAGGTGCAGCATAAGAACATTCATTCAAAGGCTGATGAAAACATGAAGGTTTTTAATTTTGATGTATTTCACACTCGTCAGGGCTTTTTTGTTTGGCCCTAGAGCCTCTTGCAGCAGCCATTCGGATGGATAAGCGTATACAGGGAGTTAAAATAAATGAGTCCACACATAAACTTTTGATGTGCGCAGATGATATTCTGTGGCTTGCTTCAGACCCAGTCAAATCTGTCCCAGCACTAAAAGTTATAAATTAATTCTCTAAAATGTCTGGATACAAAGTCAATTGGTCCAAGTCAGAGGCCCTCCCATTGAATTCATACTGCCCGAAACCCTTATTTCGGGCAGGTTTATTTCAATGGCCCACTGAAGGTATAAAGTATCTCGGTATTCTCCTTCCTCAGCAAATAGACAAAATGATTGAAAAAAACCTGGACCCGATTCTCAAAAAAATATCCTTGGATACTGACAGACGGGCTTCAATGTTTTTGTCATTATGGGGAAAGGTCAATGTCCTGAAGATGAACTGTATTCCAAAGCTGAATTACTTGCTTCAGTGTCTTCCTATTGCAATACCACAGAAACATTTTAAAAGATTTGACCAAATATGTAGGAAGTTTTTATGGAATGGCAAACGAGCAAGGATAAAGTTGGAAAGAATGCGTGTACCAGTCAATAAGGCGGGCTTGGGCCTCCCCAAATTGGCGCTTTATCATTATGCATTCTGTTTAAGACATATAGCTCAATGGATGCTACCACCTGAAAGGGCTCCTCCTTGGTTTGAGATTGAACAGAGATTGCTCTCTCTCCAATTGCCCCTATAAATGTTCTGACCAGTAAGATACCCCCTCATCTGAAATCTCACCCCATAACATCTAATTTGTGTAATGTGTGGAAGAAGGTCTCTAAAGTGTATAATATCAATGTAATTCTGAATCCTGTATTTGGAATAACCCAAGGCTATATATCAAGAAACATCCCTTATTATGGAAAGACTGCGTAGGAAAAGGAATCACTACAAATCAAACCTATATGAGAAAGAGAATATAAAATCATTTGAGAGGCTGACTGAGGAATATGGCCTACCCAGGAATCAGTTCTGGAGGTACCTGCATTTGTGACACGTTAATTAGTGTTAGGGGGAGAAATGTGGAACCTCAACAGTCAAACCTTGTTTCTTGGGTTGGGAAAATAATGAGTTTGTGGCATGAGGCTTCTAAATGTTATGCCATATTACTTCAACGAAGAGTTTTCATATCATATGCAACAATGTTAGCTTGGTCAAAAGATCTTAACATTGCTATTACACAAAAAGAATGGGATCATATGTGTGAAAATGTCAAGAGGGTGTCAAGAGACATTAAAATTAGACTGATTCAATTTAAAATACTCAATCGCTTTTATTGGACCCCAAGCCGGCTTTTTAAATTGAAGATGAGGGGCAATGTGGAATGCTGGAAGTGCTGTAACACAGAAGGTGCACTTATTCACCTATTCTGGGAATGTCCCATGATTCAGAACTACAGGTTAAAAATCCACAATCGTATTGTAAACATTACCGGAAGTAACGTGGAATTCTGTCCGAGATTATATGTTTTGATAGCCTGGCCAGCCAGACTCGTTCTCTGTTTAATTCTGCACAGAGAAAGAGTCTGGTAACTCACAGGCAGAGAGGCACATGAGGGGCGAGACTAGGCAGCTCAAAATTAACCATTCGGAAAAAAGACTGAAATGCTGAGTGTACCGTGCAACGCTGTAGTAAAAACAGGCATCTGGCAACGAAGCAAACATCTATTTTTGTTTTAGAAGAAATGCTTTTAGAGCTTCTACTTTTTGTGGTTTTAAAGACATTCAGGTCATTTAGAACAGACCGAAGAGCCGCAGCAAACTCTGCAGCTGTTTATGAGAAACTGAGCGTCGCTGTGTGTGACGTCTGCGACGCTGTAGTTTTTTAGCTGTAGTCAAAAATGGCGTCTGGCAACAACGCAAGCATCTTTCTTTAGAAGAAAGGCTTTCAGTGCTTCTACTTGTTGTGGTTTTAAAGACATGTCCAAGTCATTTAGAACAGAGGAAAGAGCCGCAGCGAACTCCGCTACAATCGCCATGTTTATGACAAACTCGGCGTTATGGTGTGTGACGTATGCTACTCAGCGCTGAGTGGCTCGGTTAGATTTCTCATGGGGTGGGGTTATTTGGATAGGAGAGTTCCTCTGTGCAGAATTAAACAGAGAAGGAGTCTGGCAGGCCAGGCTAATGTTTTTTGAATGATCCACACATAATGGCAAAGATGTAGCGGCGGACTTCATTCAGACCAGTGTAATGATTGGAAAGCAAATGATAATGAGAAATTGGAGGAACCCAGGTGAACCGTGTATCCGGGAATGGAGTGTGGAATTAACAAAAGTGGCGTCATACGAAATAATTTTTTTCAATATAAATGACAGGTCCGACAAATATATGTTGAAATGGGAAAATATTTGCAATAAATCACTTCCAGTTGAGAAAGTGGTGAGAGGTATGAAATGCAATGGATCCATGTGTGTGCTTTTTTAACCCTTGTTCTTTATTTATTTTTTGCTTTGTTTTGTTTTGTTATGGTGTCGTTGTTCATGGATAGACAATACTCTGTATGGCTGGAATACCGTGTTTTTGTCTATGACGGATAATTGTTTAGAAGCCAATGTTCACGTCACATTTGTGATAAAAATTCAATAAAATATTACTGGTAAAAAAAATAATTTGATTTAAAAGTTACTAGAGTTGGAGCACATTTGAGGTCATAAGGAAGTTGATTCCATCTGTGTGCAGCAGTGACTAAAAGCAGCTTCACCCTGTTTGGTTAAGACCCGAGGTTCTACCAGCTGACTGTTTCCTAAGTATCTCAGAGACCTGCTGGGTGTACTGTACTGCAAGAAGATCCAACATTTACTTTGGGTCCATGCCACTGACTGATTTATAAACTAGTAGTAGCACTTTGAAATTGATTCTGTAGTTTACTGGTAACCATTGTAGAGATTTAAGAATAGGAGTGATGTGCTTGGTTCTTGTTAGTCTAGTAGCAGCATTCTGAATAAACTGATGACCAAAGAAAAATCAAACCCCAAATTATGCAAACATTCTTTATTTCACGAATATAATTTCACTCAAATCCACGTCAGAACCTAAATCTTACTTATACGCATTTCTGATTTTCATTTTATTATATGACCATTACACAGACAAGCTTGTGTCTCGTAAGCTTTAGAAGACTTCAGATTCTCTAGTGAGCCCTGAAGTGTACAATGACTTGGTCAATTGTAAAAAAGGGGAAAAAAAATCTAACCATTTTTCTTTGTTTGACTCATCCTAATGTCTAACTTTTCTATGAAAATAGTTTTGTTTTCATTGTGAAAAGCAATCAGTGATGAAATAAAGTTAAACTCAAAGTCCAACTTTTCATTTCATAATAAAATGATCTGTGGTCAAGTGCTGTGAGTGGTCGATAAGGCAAGAAAAGCAGCAGTCCATTTTTCTAGTAACGCAAACTTTGTTTACCCTCTGCTGGCCAGAAGCTGAGGGCCAGAGGGAAAATGTCAAAACAAAACAATAACAAATAAGAATGTGAATGCTTTGATTCTCATTGGACAAAAGAGGTGAAATGTCATAAAACTAAATAAAAAACAACACAAAACTTGTTTGGTAAAAAATAGAAATCATGTAATCATAAGTATATTTCTCACAAAGTCCTTAAAAAGAGGTGCACCTGCCACGCTTATGCAGCTTTTAGCCAGTTTTGAAAGTGAAACGATGACCAGAGGTAGATAGACAGCACAGTGATAAATAAGCTGAGGTTCAGGTCCGTAACGAGGCCTGCAGAGCCTTCATGTCCTTCAGCAGCCTCAGATTCCTTTTCCTCCTCTCTCCCGGCTGATCTTTGACCGCTCTTGCAGGACGACTCCTGCTGGAACCTCGCTCCTTATTCCCACTGTTGGGTCTGGACTTAGCTTCCTTCCTTAGCTTCGTTATCTTGAGCACGAATGAGAAAACATCTTAAGTCAAACTGTAAATAAAAGAATTGTCTCTATAAAAACGAAGCCGTACCTGACACTTGTGTTTATGGAGCTTACTGATCTGTTCTCCTTTTCTCTCCATTTTCAGTAAAAGCCTCTCCTGCTCCCTCCGGAGATCTCTCCTTTCCTCTTCAGAGACGCTGCTCTCCACCTGCCTCCTCAACTCATCCTGCTCCCTAAAACACAAGCAAACAACAGAATTAACACCATTAATAAATCTAACTCCAAATAAAGTCCGGAAACAAAATTTACTCACAAACTCATGAGGCGGAGCTCCTCCTGCAGAGCCTGCAGCAGCTCGGACAGCTCCTCCCCGTTAACAGATGAGGAGGAGGGGGAACTGTTTGACTCGGAGGGGCTTGCTTTGTGAGCCAGGACGCGACTGTTGCAGAGGCAGGGATGGTGACATTTCAGGAGGGACAGCACGGCCTGAACGTTGGCTCTGACTGAGTGGCTGCAGCCTACGGACTAGAGAGACCCGGCATGAGGAAGATGCATCAGCCTTTTGCTACAAAGCTGCTTAAACTCAAACCGTACCGATCCAGTAACAAACGGGACGTCTCTCAGACACAATCTGTAGTGAGGTTCTGTGTGGGTTAACTGCTCCGGAGAAGAAATCTGTACCAAAAAAATACATTATATATATATATATATATATATATATATATATATATATATATATATATATATATATATATATATATATATATATATATATATATATATAAAACAAGGCCATGAAACACAAAGTAGGTCTAAAAGTTAAAGTAAACTTAATGATTTAATCAAAGTCGAACATCTTATAAATCAGTTATAAATTCAAAGCTTTTTTACTTTAATTACTGGCGTTTTATGGGAAGACTTTGTGCCAGTAGGAGCAAGTGCACACACAAACCCACAGTTCTTAGTTTAAGGTGCGTTACCTTTGAGTTGGATTTCTTTTCCTTGGCTTGCCTGACGGACGGGAAAGGTGACACTGACTGCAGCAGCATCCGGTTGCTTTCCAAACCTGCCTGCAGCTGTGGATTGGGAGCAGCACGTGTGTGGAATTATCATCTGGTTATTACTAAACAAGAAAGTAAACAAAAAGCCACCTCACCTGATCTGCTTTGTCCTCGATGAGTTTTCTCTGATGTTCCTCGTCTTGCAGCTTCCTCTCCAACTCACGAATCTTAATCTGCCATTTCCAGAGACACACTCGTCATTACTGTGTTAAAATGTAGGGTGTTTCATAAAACAATAAAAACACAAACACTTTACTCCTTAAAGGAGTGGTTCACTTGTTTAATCAGTACATTTGCAGTGGTCTAGAAGGAATTAATGGGGGGAATATACTGGTGCACCATTTCTCAGACCTAAAAGTGACCCACATCCAGCTGAGATTCAGATGGCAGGCTTTGGAGTCTTATTTACTGATATTTAGACATCTCACCCCAGATTGGATAACAGCAGCATGACTCTACCGCTGACTTGCAACGTTGATGTTTAATCTCCACAAATAACACAAGCCTGGAGGAGTTCTGCTGTGTGGAGAACTTGCTGTTACAAACCCATGTGAGGCTTGCTAGGAGTTTGAGGGCGTGCAACATAAAAGGGAGACGAGTCAGTGCATTTAGAAATAATAATGATATTTTATGCCTCCACATTAACAACTCAGTAAATGGTGAAACTAACTCAGGATTATTTCAGGGTAAAATCCAGAAAACCTAAACTGACTAAAGAATGACCAAAAAGGGAATAATTAACAAAAATAATAATAATCATCAAAACCCAAAAGGTCCAGACTGGAACCCAGTAAGGCTGTTCCTCGTGTTCAAGCGTCAACGGGAAAGGGGGGGGGGGGGGGGGGACTCAGCTTAAACAAAACACGAGAGCCGGGAGATTACCAATACTAATAATAATAAACTTTCGTCAGAACTGTAGAAAATCACAAGTCAGGAGGAAGACCTCAGTGAGCACAGAAGCGGCTTTAAAATGGACTCAGTATACTCATCCATCCACGGCGATCCAAGCACAGGCTTAGGATCGCACACCCAAACGCCATGTTCTGGTTGCAGGTCAGGGACAGGTCTCCTCCCAGTTCGGCTCGGCTCAGCTGCTCCTAGCTCTCAGTCGGGCTCCTCTGGATCCGCCCAGTTTGAGGTTTACACGATCCTCATCAGTTCTCCGCCCGCTCCTTGGTCGATCCCTCTCCAGCAGTGAGCCGAACTTTAACAGTGTTCTCACGCTCTGTTGTCCTCCGTCTCTCTGCCTTTTAATGGCTCGGCGTTCGTCCATCTCTCACGCCTCCGACTTTTGCAGTCTCTCACTCCTCAGTTTTTCGTCCCCCCCCCCCCCCACACACACACACACACCTGGTGCGTCTGTGAGCTCCCTCTTTTACAGCGTCTGCATCAGCAGAATGAGGAGCGCCTGTGCATTCCAGCTGGTGTTGGCGGAGCTGCCAGGACTCCAAACCAGCTCTAGGCTGGCCTGAGGGCCACCACCCGTAACACTTGCTAATGATAACAGTTATCTTAAATTAATCGCTGATTAATAGATGTTAAAACAGCAACCTTGCCCGTCGTGAGTCAAGATGGGTGAGTCCATGAATGCTATGTCACAGTGTGACGTAGATCTGTCGGGCTTTTCAAATCCTAGATTTTCACTGTCTATGTTCTATCAGAGGCTAAAGCAGGAGATAGGTGTAGGAGACTAGTTTCATGATCAGCCTGCATGAAAAACTCAGAGTGACCGATTATATTCAGTCAACCACTTGCAAAGACTACTTGAGATTAAAAGATTGATTACTTTCTGGTTAATACTGCAAAAAATCAAATCAAAAGTAAGATAGATTTTGGTGTGTGATGTGTCCAAGGTGTGGCCCGTGGGCCGTTTGTGGCCCTTTAGCCCCATTCCCACCTGTACCGGGTCGGCCCGGGCCGGGTAGCCCCAGTCGGCCCCAGCCTGGCCCGGTTGATTCCACACATCCTTGCCTTAAGCCCATGTGGGCTGATTCTACCCACCAATCAGAGGCTTGCTCTAATGGAAGGTGTGAATGGGCTGATTCTACCCACCAATCAGAGGCTTGCTCTAATGGAAGGTGTGAATTTGCTGTCAGCAGTGGGCGTGTTGGCCCTGGTCGGCCTGAAGCAGTACCCCTCGGGAAGAGGGCCGAGAATGAGCCTTGGTTGGCCCGGGAAAATTCCAGGCCACCCAGATATGTAAACAACCTACGCTACCCGGCCCGGGCCGACCCGGTACAGATGGGAATGGCCCATTAGAGTGATTCTGCATGGCTCTCGACTGCATTTCAACAAGGTTAGGCATCTGGCCAGTCAGCATAAGATGTTGATGCAGATGAGCAAGTTTTTTACTTTTTTATTAAGCAACATTATTACTAGTGTGTGGCTTAATAAATAAGGAAGTAAGAACAAAATAAAAAAACTTTTCAAAATGCACAAGATATTTGCTTTTTAACTGGTATTTTTTGCTTTTAATTTCATGGATGATAAAGAGCAGACTTGAGACCAACAACTTAGAATAGTCAATTAATTTACCTCTGCGTTCTTCTGTGTGCGAGTCAACCTGAGATATTCCTGCTCCAGTTGATCTAGCTTTTCCAGCTGAGCACACTCAGAAATAGCATCAAGCCTCTGGTCAGCTGCAGTGGCTTTCTCCAGAAAAGCCTAAAGATTCACACACACATCAGAGTTTTGAAGAATTAAAAAAAAAAAAAGGAGTGTTGCCTGAATTTGGATCTGGGGCATTGTGTTCACCTGCTGATTTAGAAGGCTGGTCTTCTCTGTCCTGGTATTACGCAGCATCCTCTTCATGTGGTCCAGCTGTCGCTCCAGCTTCTCACAGCGAGACTCTGCAGCAGCCAGGTGGGTGATCAGCACTGCAAATAAACCATTTGGACACAAACAAGAAAATGATCCCCTAAATATCACACGTAACAGCAAAAAGCTAATGAACGAAGTCCAAATCATAAATGTGAATGTTAGAGTGCTGGTGTACTAACCTTGATTACAGTTTGCCTTCCTTTCCGTGTCTCTCTGACCGTTCGTCTGTGCAGGACTCTCACTCTGCAGAAGTGTGTTTGATGCATCTTTCCCTAAAGAATGAAGACTGAACTCTGCTTGTCTTTTCTCCAACTCCAGCCTCCTGAACTTTTCTTGGAGATTTCTCAAGGCAGATAAGATCACTGCAGCAGGGATGCACATATAATAATAGATTGATGGAGTAAATGATCTTCGGGGATGAAAGGAGGCCTGTGCAGCCGAGACATTCAAGTAGTGTGGCATCATGTTGCACATGTAACCATGGAGCTCCAACACAAGGTTTGAATGGAAAAAACTCATCATTACACAAATCAGCAAATTAATTACCTGCACTGCTGGTCTCTGGGAACGCTTTGCTGTGTGATGCTGCACGATTTGAGTGTTGCGGGCGAGTTGTATGATGCATGTGTGTGTTGATGAAGGGACGGTGAGCAGGATAGTCTGTGTAAGAGGGCAGGGACATGCTGCCAGACACAATCCCACTGAGTTCTGGAGGTGGACGGAATTTCTGCAGAGAAACAGGGATTAAACTGCATCAGTGACATCATCCTGACAATTTTACTGCAGACATTCACAGTAAAACAAAGTGAAGACTGCAATTCTAACCTGGTATCAGGATATGCATTAAAAATGAGTTAAGGATGAATTAAACCCCTTGGAGAGTACTACTCAGCTTAAAAACAATAAAACAAATGTTCAGTTCAGCAACATCAGCTCTGATCAGAGCTGTAGCAGCTTCTGCTCCACGTAGCAAGCATAAACACATACTACAGCACGTTTTTGACAAGTTAACCGAGGAAACGTTTCTTACAGCTACCTTGTCCCGTGTAGAAACCTGGACGGATGTTTTTGAGCGAGTCTCCATTAAAACACAGCCAACCCAGACTGCCCTTTTGTCCTTAAACAGAAAAGTGGAAAAGTGACGTTAGTTAAAATATTTCTCTAGCAACGTCCTTTTCCTTGCTAGCTAATAAGCTCCGCGTCTAGTGTAATTTGCCAAGCATACACACGAGTTGTAAAAAGAAAGCATCTCTTGGCGAACTACATAATGTAGACTTTTTCTTAGAGTGGGAGTGATATTTAACCCAGCTCAGCCCGTTAGACACAGAAATCTGTTAAGTTAATGGTACATTTAGGAAAGAGCTACACCGGCATTGCTAGATAATCAAATCAAACGTACCAGCAATTTCAGCGGAAGTGTAGTCCATCTTCTTGTCTACTCAGCCTTTAAGAGCGGGGAATGCATTAAATAAAACTACAACAACACGAGACCATTGGTGAGGGGCTGGAATGACGTTGTTGCAAGAGTTGCCGGGAATTTTAGGATACATAGGTTGTTTGGTGACTTCGGGTGAGGTGGGTTACATGTGTTTCATTAATGTTTTATTAGTTTTCAGTACACGAAGAAAAGCTTTTACTTACTGTGTTAAGCCTCGCGGCTAGTCCTTCCCTGTTGTCCCAATAGACACGCACGTTTTAGCACATGTGAATGCTAAAGTTCGATTCAGTTATATGTAAGTGTTAGCTAAGCTAAAGCTGTTATAATTAGTTTTCTTTCGGTATAACAATGCAAACTGAGTCTTGCATGAATTTGTCCTGCAACCCGTAATTTAAAACTCAATAATTTACTCTTAAACTAGTAACTTTTCTTCTAATGTTCTTTCATAAACGCTTAATACAGGTTCCGTACATTTAAGCATGTGGCAAAACGTGAGATCTTATTTCGTTTTAATCGTGTGTCAACATTCATGTAAATGTTTTGCTTTTATTATTATTTATGCATGATTTGAGTTGCATTTTCTCTGCAGGGAAACCATTTGTTGACATCTTTCCAGTTTTGAACAGATCCCTGGTTTCCTACATCATCATGTCCTCAGAGAAAACCTTGTGAGTTTCTTTTATAAATCTCTTGATATTCAAGAATGAGTAAAATAAATAAATAAGTTGCAAATATTTGTATTTTGATTATTTTTCTTCAGAGAAGATGAGGACACATTCAAGATCCTGATTGCAACAGATATTCATCTTGGTTACCTTGAGAAAGATGCTATCCGTGGCCAAGACACATACAACACCCTAAATGAAATCTTAGATTGTGCAAAGAAAAATAAGGCACGGCGCAGCGATTCTATAGACATTTGAAGACTTGTGTGCACGAATGTCTGATTGCATGGATTTCTTTTTGTTCATCTAAATGAAACGTGCTCTGTTTTATGGCAGGTGGACTTTATCCTGCTGGGCGGAGATTTGTTTCATGAGAACAAACCTTCACGACGATGCCTTCACAGTAGCATCTCGATGCTGAGGAAATACTGCATGGGAGACTCTCCTGTAACATTTAATATCCTCAGTGACCAGACTGTCAACTTCAACACAACACAGTCAGTTTTCTGTGGTTCTGTTCTCCTCTCTTTCTCCTATTTATGACGTATTGCATAAGTTGCGTCTCTTTGTTGTAGGTTCCCCTGGGTGAACTATCAGGATGAGAACCTTAACATCTCGATTCCTGTGTTCAGCATTCATGGCAATCATGATGATCCAACTGGGGTGAGCTTCTGTAAAAACTATGAGTGTAGTTTCATGTGTTTGCTTTAATGACATTTTTCTTTGCTTCAAGGCGGAAGGTTTGTGTGCGTTGGATCTGCTGAGCGCTTCTGGTCTTGTCAATCACTTTGGCCACTCCCACTCAGTGGAGCGGATAGAGATCAGTCCCGTCCTCATGCAGAAAGGCAGCACAAAGCTGGCCCTTTATGGCCTTGGTGAGTTTGTCCTTTCTGAAAATGTGTAGTTTCCATTTCTCAGATATGTGTCAGTGTCTTCTCTAATATTTATACTGAATGTTTGGTCAGGTTCTATCCCAGATGAGCGCTTGTACAGGATGTTTGTTAACAAACAGGTTACCATGCTTCGACCCAAAGAGGACCAAGATGGCTGGTTTAATCTTTTTGCGATCCACCAGAACAGGTGCACACTAAAACCTGAATGTTGCCGTAAAAAGTCTAGATATTTATGTAATAACTGCTGTATCGTACATTTTTCATTCTAAATCAATGTTAAAGAAATCATATTTTATTTGCTGTCTTGAATTGGATTTGCTTCAATTTTGTGTTTAGGAGTAAGCACGGTCCCACAAACTACATACCCGAGCAATTCCTAGATGACTTTCTCGACCTGGTGGTGTGGGGTCACGAACACGAGTGTTTGATCACCCCCGCTAGAAATGAGCAGCAGCTCTTCTACGTGACCCAGCCGGGCAGCTCTGTAGCAACCTCCCTGTCTCCTGGAGAAGCGACTAAAAAGTAAAACATACACCGAGTGTTGCCTAAACATTTTATTTTATAAGATGACGGATATTAAATCACCTTGTTCTTTCCTCTGTAGACACATAGGACTATTGAAAGTGAAAGGTCGCAAGATGAACATGCAAAAGATCCCCTTGAAGACGGTTCGTCAGTTCTTCATTCAGGATGTGGTTCTGGCTGACTATGAAGACCTCTTCACACCTGAGACACCTCAGGTCACAAAGAAGATGGAGGACCTGTGCTATGCAAAGGTAACATCAATCTTCAAAGGCTGTGCTGCACAGGATTTATCAGTTCCTGCTCACCCTTATTTGTCCCTGTCTTTCTCTCTTTGTCACTTTTTAGGTCATAGAAATGCTGGAGGAGGCTGAGAAGGAAAGAATCGGCTGTCCGCTCACACCAGAGAAACCTTTAGTTCGGCTGAGAGTGAGTTCAGTTTTGCAATCAGCTTCTTAAGGTTGGTTTATGCTTGACTTGTCCGCGAGGTCCGCACGGCTCCGCGCGGAAAAGTTGCGTCATTTTGCGTCATTTTAACAACCACGCCTCTCCACCGCGTCTCCGCGCGGCCCAAGATTTCCGCAACGTGCACCTCGGAAAATTTCTAACTACGCGGACGGACGGATGCGGAAAAACATGGCGGACCGGCAAGAACTAGTATGGCAGAGGTTCGTAAATACAGACATTTGTATGATTCAGCTCTCAGAGACCACCGTGATCAACATGTTGTTAATAATTCTTGGAGAGAAATAGCTCGCACTGTCGGAAAAGACGAGGACGCTGTTAAAAATGCCGAAATGCCATGTTGTAAACAGTCATTTCTTCTACTATGGTGTAGTGTTGGATGCATGCCGTAGAGCTCCATGCTGCCCCCTACAGTTTGGGAGAATATTGGCTCACTGCAGAGACGAGCCGCATGAACCATAAACGCTGCGAGTTATGAAGCGCGCGTTCCATCCGCGAGCCGCATCACCGCGCGGAAAGTGAACGCGTCAAGCATAAACCAAGCTTTAATCACCTCCGCTTTAAATTAAAGCCATATTATTTTCATATGTTTAAATACATTTCTTGAGCCAGTATGCGCTAAAACATCCCTTTACAAGGTTAATGAAATGTCACTCTGACCCCCACCGCCCCCCCCCCCCCCTGTGGCCAGAATACCGCATTAGCAACTTCAGAGTGCTGGTCCAGCACCTGTTAGACTTAGAAAACAAATATAGAGCTTACTAGGGATGTGTATTTGTGAAATTCTGGCAATATGATACAGGAGAGACGATACGATATGTCACAATATATTGCGATACATTCAGCCAGACGAAATTTGCAATATTTTTTAGACTGAAATGATTGCAGGACAACTCAATAAACAGTCCAAACTGATACGTAACATGTTTATCTTGAGTTTTCTGAACCATAATAGAGGGATTTACATTTCAGTGGTGGAAACAAAACCTATTGCACCCTGATGCTAACTAGTGGTCGGTTTTTCAGTTGCACCAAAAGAAAAGAAAATACATGAAATGTTTGCATGTAATTTCTTCCAAAAAAATTGATACACAGCTTTTGAGTATCGATATAATATCGCTGGAAAAAATGTTGCGATATATTGCTATATCGACATTTTCTTACATTCGTAGAGCTTACATACCTGGCACTGAGGTCTGCTTCTAGTACGTTTCCTGCATATTTTAGATCATGAGCACAGCTGATTTGTTAAACTAAGCATAAAATCGCTTCTGTAGAAACCACTGAAGGCTGAGGAGACATTTCAGCAGTTAGATGAAGGTGTTAAAAAGACAAACGCACAGCGAGGAGATAGGCTTTGCTTTTGGTTGTACAAACAGACACTAGGGGGTGCTAAAAGCAAGCCTAACCTGCCAAGTGTGCCTTTAAATGTATTACCTGCGACAGGTGGACTACAGTGGAGGGTTTGAGACTTTCAACACCTCTCGCTTTAGTCAGAAGTTTGTGGACCGTGTGGCTAACCCAAAAGACATCATTCACTTCCTCAGAAAGCGCGAGTATAAGGACGACATCAAAGGTTTGACGCAGATTTGAATAAATTTGATCACAATTATCTCCAGCTTTCGGGGTGCTTAACTAACGAGTTTTCCTTGTGATGTCACCTTCGTTGTACATTTTAGATGAGGTCACCATTGACTATGGCAAGCTGATAAAACCGACTGCGGTGGGAGGACTGAGAGTGGAGGACATGGTGAAGCAGTACTTTGAGGCAGCTGAGCAGGTGCGTTAAACAAAGATCAAATTTTGACTTTCCTCGTGAGAGTTCTGGTAACATTTTTTATGCGCTTCTTCACAGAAAGTCCAGCTCTCCCTGCTGACCGAACAGGGCATGGGGAAGGCCATTCAGGAGTATGTAGACAAAGATGAGAAGGATGCAATTGAGGAGCTCATCACCTGCCAGTTAGAGAAGACACAGCGCCACCTTCAGGCCAGAGGAGTAACTACAGAGCAGGATATAGACGCAGAGGCAAGACGGTGTCACAGACCAAGTGGGGCAAATCTTCATGATTGCGTGTCATTTCTAACTGTGTGTGTTTGCACACTTCCAGATCCAGTTATTTAGACAGTCCAAGAAGAACACGACTGAAGAAGAGAATGATTTTAGAGAAGTAAGGAGAGCTTTCAGCCGAACACCGAGGCGCTGTTTCAACACCGTTTAACATCACTGTTTTTCATCAGGCTATGAACAGAGCCAAAGCCAACCGGTTGGAGCGTGGAGAGGAATCTGTAGATCAGGATATGCCAGATGTTGACATGAACTTTGCTGATGATGATGTAGTTGCGTCCCCTGCTCCTACACGGGGCAGAGGAAGAGGAGGCAGAGGACGAGGTGGTCGAGGCAGGGGCAAAGGTGAGTGCTGTTAGATGTTATAGTGTGTGAGTGCAGACAAGAGAGGAACAGTCGTGAATTGTTTGTTTTCCTCCTGGAGCAGCAGCTTCAGAAGCAAGGCCAGCTGGTCGAGATCGGGCCCAGAAATCAGCAGCAGCGAGCCAAAGCAGAAGCATAATGCAGGGTAGGAGGAGGACTGTTAAACTATATTTACTCATTTTAAAATATACTTTCCCTTACAAATTTTTATTTTCTCATTCTTCAGCATTTCAGGCTTCTTCTCAGAGATTTCAAACCAAAGCCTCCACATCTTCTAGAGCTGATGAGGTGAATATTATCGTGCATCAATGACTATTGCTCATAAACCCAATCGAGTTTATTACCCAACGTCACACAAATAATCTAACACACTTCCTTTTTTTTCTGCACATATAACCTCCCCGGTCCGCCCTGACTCGACCGTCCTCAGATGATCATAGATGACTCGGATGAAGAAATACCTGTAATGAAAGCCGCCAAAGCACCTTCAAGGTTTGTGTTGTTTTCTGTTTAAAGAAAACAATCCACATGTGTAAAGTTATTCTGCTCCTTTTCTTTCTGCTTGTGCAGCTTTAAAAAACTAATCATGACTCTTGTTTGTCTAACAGACCTGCGTTATCATCATCATCCTTCTCTAAGAACAGCTCTCAGAGCCAGACTTCTCGTGGAGTTGAATTTGATGACAGTGATGATGAGGTAAGAGAAGAAATGATCAGTTGCTATAAAATTCCACTCTTGCCTGTTGCTTTTATAATATAATTTTTTTCCTAAATGTTTTCCCCTTTGACACAGGATAACCCCTTCAAAGCCTCCAGCCATCGCTCCAGAAAATAACCACAAGTGTGTTTGTCGCGCTATAATTATTTCTGCAGGAGATGTTGTTCTGAAGGACTTCGGTTGCTTTTGCATCTAATGTTTTACGTCCTCTGCCATGTTTACGATACATAATTTGTCACACTTTGTTGCATAATTGAATAAATCAGTCAGGAGGGAGGTGGAAGAAAGGAAAAGTGTTTCCTGTTCAGTTTTTTATTTGATTTTTCTCCAACCAAACCCAGTTGGAAAAGAGCCTGTTATTGTTGATTCACACTGATTTAGATTGAGGTTTTCTACCTTTCTCAGGTGTAATTTCTGTAAATAAGTGTTTTTTATGTATGCCAACCTTAATGGAGCTTCGTCACATTTTATATTCAAAATGAGCAACTGATTTGTTGCTAAAGACTTAAATAGTCAAGCCAAACTTTATGCACTGCTGTTAAAACTGTTGTAATATGAATTGTTTTAGTTATAAAAAATAAAATAACCGAATTTGTAATGTTTTGTCATTTGATCATCAAAAATGTATTCTCATCACGTTGTTTCATTTTTTTTTTTAATTTTAGTTCAGAGATTGTGTGTGCATGTCTTTGGGTGTGTGTGTGTGTGTGTGTGTGTGTGTGTGTGTGCACACGCACTGGGGTGTTATGTTTTTAGGTAGGTAGGAAGAGCAGTACTTTATCCATAGGAACTTTATTACATACTGTAGAAACAGTCATAAGCAGACGTACGTAGGTAGACACCACTACATCTCAGCATGCTGCCCCCTGTGTTCCGAACACAACAAGAGTTCTCAATGTTTGACAACATCTCAAAGCAGGAAAGATATTTCAGTGTTTAATATGTTTACAAGTTATTTACACACATTTTTTTAATAACAAATCCAATCACTCCCCAGCTTTACACATTTAATCAAAAACAAAATTCATATTTTGCCTCTTGAGCAACAGAATAAAAAGTAATATTTCAGTGCAGAATGCTGTTTAGTAAATACATTAAGCCTGTTTCCGTGCAGAAGTCAACATCTGCATTCAAACACATTTACTTTGCAACAATTGGACTAAAACAAGATTATCTCTAAATTCACTCCTACTTTATTCATATGGGAATTAAACAGTTATTTATTTACTAATCACACTGAAAATCAAAACACAAGTTACAAAAACATCAGTGCAAAAAGATTATAAACGAAACCATCTTCACACAAATTATGGCTGCATAAATCGATTTTCACTTAAAGTGCTCAGATGCTCATAACTGAAGCAGGAATTTAAGCATTCCCTTTAGCTGTCAAAATGCGCTTTGGCACTTTATAAGGAGCTGGTCAAAAATTTCCACCATTTATCTGTTGAATATCTCCTTAAAACTGAAATTGTTTTTACTTCTTGACATCCTAGAAGTCCATTTACAGATTTACTCTTCTCATAATTCTGTCTTGATGACTTGTAACAATGGCAACAATTTTAAAAATAAGTTATTTTGTCCACAATAAGAGATCGGTAACATACAGATCCAAGCAATTTCCCCTGAGATAAGAAACTGAAATGGCACAAACACCTGGAAACAGGTTTTAGTATATGCAAAAATGTGTATGTGTGTGTGTGTGTGTGTGTGTGTGTGTTTGAGTCTTTGTTTTGCTTTTGAGATCCAGCTCCAACTTCCCCTTTCTTCCAATCCTTCCCTGATCTTTAAACTGCCACACTAAACGAAAGGTTTTCTTCCAGTTTCACAATTAGTCTGAGGTAGACTGGTCAAAGTGCACATCAAGAGTTTTTCTGGAAAAAGAAAGGAAAAGTGATTAAAGCAAGGCTGAATATGTCAAAGTTCTTATTCACCTGTGATGATGGGACGGTCCTAGAAATCAAGATGATCCTGATTACTCTCTGAACTGTGATGGGTGACGATCTTTAACGACGTAGAGCTACGCTGTTGCGTTTCTTGTATGCATTACCTCAATGAAGGTGTAAATCCAGTTGAGCATCTCATCCATATTGGTGTAAACGCCGGGTCTGTTTGCCTCCGCGCAGCCAACACCCCAGCTAACTACACCAATCAGGTTCCACTGAGAGGAGAAGTACGTCAAAGGGCCGCCGCTGTCCCCCTGGGGACCAAAACACAACTCAGAGAAGTTTCAATTACGAGATGTGATGACTCTCCAGGTAATCTCAGCTAAATTAACAATAACTTTAAGTAGCGGGTAATTACCTGGCAGGCATCCACGCCCCCCTTCATGCTGCCAGCACAGATCATTCTCTGCGTTATGTGGCTGCCATAGATTGCAGGGCTGGCACATGTACTCCTACCTATCAGGCTGATGTGGGCCACCTGCAGCGTATCAGAAACCACACCTGGAGACAAACCCGACATAAAATAAGAGTCCAACTTCAATTAAAGCTGCAAGCAGCGTCGTTCGGCCCTCGCAGCTCCGCGCCGGTCCGGCCTGGCCGGCAGCCCGAGGCACCAGGTTACGTCCGTGGAACAAAAATTTTGACCACCCCGACACCAGAAACAGCTAACGGTCACCTCGTCCGCACCTCACCCTGACTGAGCATCCCCTCTGAGCACACCAAGTTTGGTGCAGTTACGACCTCGTCTGTAGGAGTTATCACAGTTTTAATGTTGTGTAGGGGGTGCTGTGGTGTTATTATACGAATTTCACCAACCATTTGTGTCTCATTGGCTAAAGGGCATGATTGTTTATTGCCATGTTCAGTCTCGTGCAGATGGGAGGCTGTTTGTGGAAGTTACGATCAAACGTAAGGTCATGGCGTCATGCCAGAAATCGCCATGGCATCAAAGCCCCTCCCTATCTGGAAAGCTATCAGATCTGAATGGTCATTGCAACATCATGAAGACAGTGCCTGACCTTAGTGTCATGTTGACTAAATTAGAGAGGACAAATATGGGCATTTCACCATAAAACAATAGACTTCCTGTTGTCAGGGGGCGGGGCTTAGGTGATGTCAGCTGTCCACAATGACGTTGTCTTGAGATTTGGTCATTGATCACACGGACAAAGTTTGATATAGATCTGATCATGCACATTGGAGTTGTTAAGTCAAGTAATGTAATGGCGAAAGGTCAAAGTTTGAGGCTTAGCCACGCCCACACCATTATACTTATTTAAAATCCGACGGTTGAATTTTTTCCCCTTTGTCTTAAGAAAATATAACAGAAGTTTGAAGGTGATCGGTGAAAAGGGCGACGGGGTATCATTATCCAAACAACGTGTGCGAAAACCACTAAATCGAGAACTTGGACCAAAATGGCCGACTTCCTGTGCGACTTTGCACTTGGCTCCCAGAGACTTTTTTGTAGGTCCTGAGACACCACATTAGTGTACCAAATTTTGCAATCCTCAGTCAAAGCATGGCTTGGGGCTGACAGTTTTAATGGTCATAGGGGGCGCTATTTCAGAAAATAGGCCACGCCCACAAACTTCAGCCATCCATTTCTATTGGGGGTCAGACTAGGATCACTCACAACAAGTTTCGAGGTGATATCACGATAACTTAAGAAATGAGAGGCAAACGTATTTCCATGGCGTGATGGCGATTTTCGCCATGCTCCCAAAGCCCCGCCTTTTTTCAAAACCTTCCAGTACTGAAGACAAAGTAACCTCAACTTGTCTACTGCTGTTTGCCACAGAATCCTGGTGTTTGGGTAAAAGGAGTCCAGTAGGGAGCTGTGAAAAAAAGAGTGGCGTGGCGACAGGTCAAAGTTTGAGGCTTAGCCACGCCCACATCTTTCAACTTTTGAAAAAGCCGACGGTTGAATTTTTTCCCCTATGTCTTAAGAGTATATAGCAGAAGTTTGAAGGAGATTGGTGAAAAGGGCGACGGAGCATCACTCTCCAAACAACGTGTGCGAAAACCACTAAATCGCGCACTTGGACCAAAATGGCCGACTTCCTGTGCGACTTTGCGCTTGGCTCCAAGAGACTTTTTTGTAGGTCCTGAGACACCACATTAGTGTACCAAATTTCGTAATCCTCAGTCAAAGCATAGCTTGGGGCTATTAGTTTAAATGGTCCTAGGGGGCGCTATTTAAGAAAATAGGCCACGCCCACTAAATTCAGATATCTATGTCGCTTGGGGGTCAGACTAGGATCACGCACCAGAAGTTTCGTAGCAATATCACGATAACTGAAGAAATGAGAGGCAAACATACTTCCACGGCGTGATGGCGATTTTCGCCATACTCCTGAAGCCCCGCCTTTTTTTGAAACCTGCCAGTACTGGATACCAAGTGACCTCAAGTTGTCTACTGCTGTTTGCCAGAGATTCCTGCTGATTGGGTAAAAGGAGTCCAGTAGGGAGCTGTGAAAAAATGAGTGGCGTGGCGACAGGTCAAAGTTTGAGGCTTAGCCACGCCCACACCGTTAAACTTTTGAAAAATCCGACGGTTGAATTTTTTCCTCTTTGTCTTAAGAGTATATAGCAGACGTTTCAAGGAGATTGGTGAAAAGGGCGACGGAGCATCACTCTCCAAACAAGGTGTGCGAAAACCAGTAAATCGCGTACTTGGACCAAAATGGCCGACTTCCTGTGCGACTTTGCACTTGGGTCCAAGAGACTTTTTTGTAGGTCCTGAGACACCACATTAGTGTACCAAATTTCGTAATCTTCAGTCAAAGCATGGCTTGGGGCTGACAGTTTTAATGGTCCTAGGGGGCGCTATTTCAGAAAATAGGCCACGCCCACCGGATGTTCACATCAGATCTTTTGGGGGGCCAGACTAGGATCACTCACAAGAAGTTTCGTGATGATATCTTTAGAAATGACGAAATGGGAGGCAAACGTAAGGCCACGGCGGTACGCCTGACTTCGCCGCGCCGCCACAGCCCCGCCCTCTGCCGAAAACTCACATAATGTGACACCAAGCAACCCCCACTTGTCTTGAGTTACCAGCTACAAATTTGTGGTGATTTAGTGAAATGGGGCAATTTGGGACCTTTCACAGTAAAACTTAACCTTTTTGGTCCTGAGGGGGCGGGGCTTGTGTGATGTCATCATGCGACCATTCAATTTACTTTGTGAGGTGATGACGAATGACCACAGAAAGTTTGGTAACTCTATTCCATTCAGTTATGAAGTTATAGCAATTTAAAAATTTTTGGCGAGTAGTCAAACTTCGAGGCCTGGCCCCGCCCCTTCAGTATTTACGAAAAGTCAATTTTATTGTCTCATTTTGTTCGCCCATCTCTTCTGAGCAATTTTACAGAATTTTTGAGATGATCGTGCAAAAAATGATCGAGCAATCCAATCAGAAACGGACCCTAAAAACGGCCAAAACGGCAAAAAATCGCCATTTCAACCCAAAATGGCCGACTTCCTGTTTGATATTGACCATGCTTGCAAGAGACTTTTCTGTGCGGACTATTGAGTACTATAAGTGTACCAAATTTCATAACGGTACGATAAACTAAGCTTTATGGAGAGGGTTTTTTTTCATTTTCTAGGGGGCGCTGTTCAGCCAATTTCTTTGCGATTTTTTTGGGACCTTTAAAATATCAAATTTTTCACCAGGCCTGACAAGTATGCAAAATATTGTGAGTTTTGGGGTATGTTAAGGTCCCCAAAAAGCCATTCAAAGCGGCACCGGAATAATAAATAAAAATTAAAGCTGCAAGCAGCGTCGTTCGGCCCTCGCAGCGAAGATGCTCACCCTCCTTCCGCACCCCCTCCGCTCCATCCCCGATGCTCTCCAAACCCAACTCCCCGCCGCTCCGTCCTGGCCGGCAGCACGGGGCACCAGGGCACGTCCACGGACTGAAACGTCCACCACCCTGACACCAAGAAAAGCTAACAGTCACCTCATCCACACCTCACCCTGAATCAGCATCCCCTCCGAGCCTACCATTATATTACATGTCTCACCACTAGGGCATACTTTATCTTTAGCACACTGTTGGTGTGATGACACAGACCAACTTTAGTGCTTTTTTGCCCATATTTATTAAAGTTTTCGAAAGTTAAAGTTATCTAGGGGGCGCTGTGATCAATTACAGAAAAATCCCATTGAGGTCAGCTTTGGTTGACAAGGACAGTTTTCTGTTATTTTGGCATCAAACGGACGTTGTGTGTGTTATCTAAAGCCAGTGAGCTGAAAGGGGCGGAGCTACAGGGATTTGAATCAACAACCACATCAATGTGTTTGGTGCAGTCACGTGATGTCACAAGCCAAGTATAATGCCATTCTGACTTTGACTTTAGAAGTTAATAAAGTTTGAACCCATCTAGGGGGCGTTGTGACCATTTACAAGTAAATGCCATAGAGGTCATCTTTGGTCATCAAAGATGGTTTTCTGTTAATTTGGAATCAATCAAACGTTGCATGGGTCATCTAGAGACAAAAAGCTGTAAGTGGGTGGAGTTAAAGTGAATTGAACAAGTGATCACATACATGTGTTGATTGCAGATGTGTGATGACTCCCACAATGTTTGATGTAGTTTGGAACTTTTTTGCAGAAGTTACAAAGGTTTTTTGTATCTAGGGGGCGCTGTCCCAAATTTAAGAATTATTCCATGAAGAAGTTTGTAGGTTGATGACAGTCATTTGTGTGCAGTTTGGTGTGAATTGCATCATGCATGTGTTATTAAGGGCCTAATATCTGTCAGGGGGCGGAGCTAAAGCAATATCAACAACTTACCACAGGACTGTGGTGGGTGCCATTGTGTGAGTACACATAGCAAGTTTGGTGCAGTTACGACCTCGTCTGTAGGAGTTATTACAGTTTTAATGGTGTGTAGGGGGCGCTGTGGTGACATTACACAACTTTCACCAACGGTGTGTGCCTCGTTGAATAAAGGGCATGATTGTTGATTGCCATGTTCAGTCTCGGGCAGATCGGAGGTTGTTAGTGGAAGTTACAGTCAAACGTAAGGTCACGGCGTCACGCCAGAATTCGCCGTGGCATCAAAGCCCTTCCCTTTCTGAAAAGCTATCAGATCTGAATGGTCATTACAACATCATGAAGACAGTGCATGACCTTAGTGTCATGTTGACTAAAGTAGAGGGGACAAATATGGGCATTTCACCATTAAAAAATAGACTTCCTGTAGTCAGGGGGCGGGGCATAGGTGATGTCAGCTGTCCACATTGTCATTGTCTTGAGATGTGGTCAATGATCACACAGACGGAGTTTGATATAGATCTGATCATGCACATGGGAGTTGTTAAGTCAAGTAATGTAATGGCGAAAGGTCAAAGTTTGAGGCTTAGCCACGCCCACACCTTTATACTTGTATAAAATCCGACGGTTGAATTTTTTCCTCTATGTCTTAAGATTATATAGCAGGAGTTTGAAGGTGATAGGTGGAAAGGACGACGAGACATCATTCTCCTA